GACGAAGTGCGTACAAGATGGCTTATAAAGAAACTGTTCTACTGTTATGGGATGGATGGAGGAATCAGTGTCCACGGAGTAGCGTAGGCCTGTTCGTTTGCTCCTTTCTTAGGAGGTCTTGTTGAACCAAAATTTGGTCGCTTCTCACAGACAATCTCACTTCCTGACATCGCAGACACAGCAACTAGTGTGCGGAGTACTGACGGAGGAGTTTACTTGCTCGTTTAGCTGCTTTTGTTCTCTGGAGTCTCAAGATCAGCTTAACTAGAACCTTCCTCAAATCGTCACCATATCAGGCAGTCTTCAAGCCTGTGGATCACGAGTAGATCACCACCATGCGGTTGAGAGCTACTAAGGCAACTATGACTCATCGTGCAATCTACATTCAGCGGGACATCTCAAATGGAAACGTCCTTCTAAGCTTGAAAGACCTTGCTTGATGGATATGCCCCTCGTTATACTTCGCAGCGCGGCACCTACAAATATCTCTCAAGCATGATGAGGCGGTAAGACATTGGGAGAATAACTCAGTGTGATCAAATACGTCATTGCTCCAGCAAACACCCAGCCAACGCCCAGCACACGATAGCCAACAAACAAATACGCCGCGTATGTGAAGCTCAGTCCCATTTCCTCCGCTGCGTTGCAGTAAAACAGTCTTGCTAGAAAATAATTACAGCTTTGGAATCGAACGAAGCTATTTTTATTCAACCGCTTCAGCGATGGAAAAGATTTCATAGATATACTCGAAGACGTAGAGTGATGTGCAAAACTTTCGCGCCATGCGGGACTCGAACCCACATCTCACTCTATACTGGAGTACGTGCTCTAACCCACTGCACTACTGGCGCTCATTCTGTGCACCATTCCTTCCACTCTACAGCGCACCGTTCTGTCAACCGCCAGCCGTAAACGGCCTGGCCCGAGAAGTCGGTCTCGACATTGAACCCAGTCACGCTAACAAATATTGGGTATCAAAGATCAAACGAAATTATATTTATTTGACTGCTTTAACGGTGGTAGATTTCTGGAGCCGACAGCCTAGAATTAATTGGAAAAGTTGTTGAGGTTGATGTTTACATCATCCCTGGGGTCTTGCGGTCTAGTCCTCAATGAACGATGTGCATTGTTTTGGATGCACGACTCTTCCGCGGTCTTCATAGGCAGGCGAAACTTTTTTTTTACTATAAATTTGATAATTATTCAAAAGCTCAGGTCTCGGTGACTTTAACATTGTGTTTGATGTGTAGACCTTCTTAATGCGCTACAGCAGCGAAAATAAAATCATGCGTCACACTCAAAGAGCTTGTGGGCACGGTTAGGGTGTGTGGAGCGCTCTTCAATAAACTGGAATGACACTAACAAATCTGGGCATTCGGAGGCTCAATATGTTTTCTGAGGAGGTCTCCAAAGTGCACTGTAGAGAGAGAGAAGATTACGTTTCACACCTGGAGTTTTCTCGCACATAAGCGTTATATATGCACAAAAAGTACATGAGCGCGTAGAGGAATTTATAGAACATAAGAGCAGTTCACAAACTCAAAGTTTTTTTCCTGATATGAAAAGAAAATTTCCTTATTATAATGATTGCGCACTATTCGCAAAAATTCATCCATTACCGTTCGCAAAGAGACAAAAGCCTCAATATCGCATATCCTCAACCTGATAAGACAGAAATTATCACTATTGAGTTTCCTTGGAAAAAATTTACTACAGATGAACACATAGCCTAGCCCTGAAGTAATGCAATATTGTGTATCTATATGGACAGCGCCGTTCGACTGGGGATGCAGTCGCTGTAGTGGAACACTCAATTCTCTTACGACTACAGCTCTGACTGGTGACATAGATGGATAATATGAGTAAACCAAAAGGCATGCATTGACCGTCTTTTGAATGAAACGATGATGTAAGCAATAGAAAATGTTAGCAACATTTCACGGGGTCAAATACTGCGTTAGTAATGGCTATTGTCAATAGCGTTGCTATTTTAACTTCGTTTATGGCCTTTACATAATTTGGATAGCAGCACTGACTCAAGAAATTTGAGCGGTGTTGGAGATTTTGAGCATAAATGTGCTTTAATTGGTCTAATGACATTTGGAACTGAGAGACTACATTTAATGACATTGAATGGGACAAAAGCACACATTTTCGTGAAGAGCATGTTGCGAAGATGTTTGCTAAATTGGGAGATTTTCATGGAAATCGACTCAAGTCACACCCACAGAAAACTCTCAGGAATGAGAGAACTTCGTGAAGATAAGGTGACAATAGACCCAAGTTCTTTCACGAAGGGGAGCGAGAACATCGTCTAAACACAATGATTGCTACCAGTAAGCTAGGCAGTAGCGAGTTGCTCCTCTTGTGAGTGAAAAAGTGAGACTACGTTGGTGAAGAGAAACGTCATATAATGCCTCTTGGCTTTGAACGAGTTGTCCCTTAGTTGTTTACGCGTACCACATATACATATATTTAAAATATGAGAAGTGAAATCCGCTGACTATTTCTGTAGTTTTGTTTTCGTCAAAACAGCAGTAGATACAATATACTGTAGAGTTGAACTTTTTCGCGACAATTTCGGTCATGAAAAAAATGCTTTTGTCTGTAGCAGAGTAATGATGTTTTTCATGTCGAGCGAGTGATCCGCAGCTAAGAAAATGCGCATTTGTACATTGATAGCTTCTTTTTGACACATATTGGTCGTTGCGCGTTAATTTAAATTTACGTGATTCAAAAAAAGTTAGTATCAACATATCACATACTCACAATGTGCTACATTTCTCTCACATAACACGATATAGCATGTAGCTCATATAAAAATCTAAACGAATTCTCACATCCGATTCATTTTTGGCTACCAGTCATCTGCGATAGTTCCCGATTTTTTCTGCTTGGGTTCCATCGCCTAGTGTTTTCGTACTCGTCATAAAATGTCGTGGAATTCCACCCTATCTTTTGCGAAGTCATAACGCCTGCTTAAGCCTTCACACTCGAATTGGAGAAGCTGATTTGACTCCATACAAGTTTGACTCAGTATCCAGATCGCGAAAGGATGAGAAGCCTGGTGGATCATGTATGGATTGGAGCCAGTGCCTGATTGATTTGGCTATTCCTTGTAAGAAATGAAATCACTAATACAGGACTACTCAAAAAGTCTGCCTTAATAATTCTATCAGAAAGCGCATCCTAATCTACAGATGATTGCCAAAAGATGTTAGCCTTCGATATCTTGTGCAACCAAAACTTGTCTTGGTAGAATGTTTTAAGCTTTTCATGAGGTCTGCTATGACACTTCTTGTGATAGACGTACGTTTGGGCTTGCTGGCAACCCTCATCGGTAGCGCCGAGAAAATTGCATTTTGCGCCAAGTGAAAAGACCACGTATATTCATATATATATATATATATATATATATGCATATATATATATACATTGGCAAAATTTCGATGCTTAGAATCCGCTGAACCTTCATTCCTTTTTTTTTCTTGAACGCTAATACATTGGAGAGAGAAGCGGTTCTCAATGCTCAAGATTACCGCTTTCCGTCAAAGTTTTGGAATCGGATATACTTCCCATATTTCGTTAATAGAAAATTTCAAAATGAACAGCATTGCAGAAAAATTATCCATACTTTTTCAGCGATGGTGCAAAACCTGTTACATAAATCTATCGTGTTCTCAGCTGTTGTGTTGTAATTTATATCAGTATTGGAGGATGAAATTAGGAACCGTATATGGAGCAGTGGTTGAAAGATGCCGCCTTCTGCGAGAACTGTGCTGTTCAACCTGCTTTATGATGGTTAGGAATGGCCTACAGAGATGCAGGCCGTGTTATAAATTACTAGTCTCGGCTGTGTTAGGACGTGTAGACAACTATGTCATGCGCTGAAATAGGATTCATTTGTGTTAGCGGGGAACAAATGGAAAAGCGACACCTTTCGCTGGGTAAAATTTTTCACCAATGTGCTAATAATCATTCGTAAGCTCAGATTTCTGACTTTGCATTACGTGGTCTATCTTTGGAGACCTTTTTGTACTGCTGTAGCGTGAAATTAAAATTGCGCTCTCCACGCTCACTCCAAGTATTACTTCGCTGGAGCACGAAAAGCGTATCATCGTGTGTAGACAATCTCGTAGTATCAGACTCAGACGTTTTCACTTGGTATTTCTTTTAAGACGAAGACAAAATTCCTAGTCGAATGAAAAAAACCGCACTTGACATGCGACGCGCCAAGATATTTTCGGTCGATCGAATCTACGGTCACCAGAAACCCTGATCGCATATTAGCCGATGAATAAGGAGCCGAGTATATAAAACTTGACCTTGTTTGTCCTGCTACACTACAGTGAAGCGTTTATCCAAAAAATAAGCAAAGCGTTGGAATCGTGAAAATTTACGCTATCTATTGGTCACTTAAAATTTGAGGAAAGAATTCTGCCTTGCGAAAATCATGTGCATGAAACAAAAATGCTTTTTTTTGTTCTGTAACGTTATAGATGGACTTCTTCGTAAAAGACCAGATAGCGCAATAGCCAGAAAGTTAAGTTTTGCAATGATTACCATCACTCTTACGAGAAGTCAATACAAAGTAGCCATTTTTTCATTTATTCACCACTAACAGTAAAGAATCGCAAATTGCTTGCAGTAGTGAGGAGAATGAGAGTTCGCTACGATATTCTATGCTGCAAAAATGGCAGTAGGTGCACGTTTTGTATGTGAAACAGAATTTCATAAATAAAAGAAATATAATGATAAAATATTACTATGATGCTTATGCCTCTCAGAGATTGCATAACCATTTGTAGACACAGTAATCTCGAATAGTGGCGATACTTACTCACTGTTTTGCCCTTTACAATTTCGTAAAAAATAATTTTGAGAGTCTTTGGCTTCAGCCGAACACACTTCCTCTGTGACTGTAATTATTCTAACAGCTGAAGCAACTAAACGGGCTATCGTAGAACTGGCTAACATTTTCGATGGACCTATATGTCATGATGGCATTTTTGAGAAGAAAATGATGAATAGGTGGCATCGATGCGCTTAGTGTTCGCTATTCAGTACCGATGGAACACGACTGTAATGACGTATACTGTTGATGGTGTTGCGCCAAAGGCGTCCACAGCCTTTCGATACGTAGAAGTGACCATCAGACTTGCACTGAGTTTTAACTAACTTCCTTGAAAATCTATTACACTGTTCGGACTTTGCGATGAATTAGCAGCGTTACAACGCCAGCTCCAACTGCAGCATCGTAATGCAAACCATCAGAAAATTTTTGACTCAATAAGAACTGGTAATGGAAAGTCTGTTGGGGTCACAGGAATTTCACATGACATGCAGTGCATCAAGTATAATCAATATAGTTGTGGTTCAGTTTATGGACTGTTGAACGGAGCTATCTATAAGGCACTATGATTAGTCGCAGCTATCGTTTCAACCCTTTTATGCTTCACAGCTTCACACAATTGTCGTCATAGTTGGAGTCGGTTCCAAAATAGTGACATCCGCAAGGCTATTCCATAATCGCAAAAATGTTACCACCTGCGATTCTAAATGGGTGATTTTGCTATGGAAGCGTCTGCCTATTGTACAAGTGCCAAGGTGATGGTTCAAGAAGACTCTTACATTCTACTGGTATCCATCCCATTGTTTCTTTGCCCATCTTTCGTCTGTTCTTCTTACTATGTGACCAACCCATTTGTGATTTAATATCGATGTATATTCCCTTGGATCTCGAATGTAATGAGGTTTCAAAATTCAAGCTGTGCATTCTGAACAGGCCTTGCCAGTGCCGGATAATTTCAGAAGACTTTGTTTCAAGAGCTGTTTGAGTGACAGGTAAAAT